CTTTTATTTTTACAGTGTCGGAATTTTTGAAGTGAATTTGTAATTTATGTTTATTTTTTACAATATCTTATCGAAATGCTGATATTGGTTTTGGATTTGCCCTATATTTCACAAATTTTGTTTAGTTTAAAACGAAAGTTTACTTATTGAGCACAGTATTATACCTCCTCCCCCTCCGCACAAAACGGATCGCTTTCGAACTGAAAAACAGAAAGTAAACAATGGATGAAGTAATGTAACCTTGTATTGAATATCGTGGCATTGTTGCCACGAAAAATGATGCACCTGTTTTCAAAAAATACACTTCAAAACATCTAAAAATAGTATTGTCAAAAGAAAGGGACCACGTGTTCGTTTTGGAAATGAATTCATCCTTATTGTGATATTGTTCTTCCTGTGCCTTCAGAATTTCATATATTTCATTCTTGTAATTTCCGTTGAAAGAAAATAGTGTATCTAATGGAAATTTATCAGGTGAGCGCATTTTGAATAAAAACGTTACTTTAATTGAGAATTTCCACAATTCATGTTTAAGAGTTGGGCACAGTTTAAAGAAAAATACTTCGTTTTCTAATTCTTTAAATTTTATCCAGACAAAAATGTTTTGTACGTATTTATCATTTAAAATGGTTTTTTTTTCTGGGACTACTCATAAAAACTTATATTACCACGTTTGGCTTTTATTATTACTAATGCAACGCCAAGAGAGGGAAACATTCAAGCCGCGTGGAATTTTCACCGTGCGTATACCGCGATGATAGTAATAGCATTTCGGCGCTGAAACACTTCATGGCCCCTGTAGCGCTATCAACAACCACTGTAAGGAGAAAACAGAATGCTGTTTTGAAGTATTGGAATTGCTTTTCATGCGGTTGTTTCGCGTGAGAAGCTTCAGTATGCCTCGAAGAACAGTATGAGCATCATTCAATCACGTTTCTGAGTTTGACTGAGGAAGAATTGTTGCCACTTAAGAATACGGATAATCCTTCCTAGAAGACAGTGATCCTTCCCTGATGTAACCAAGCAATAATGATGAAGATGTATAAATGACAGGTGAAGGAAAGAATGACTGACTGACGGCCTCAATTGCCCTTGGACTAGTCGCATCACTATACGTGATGGCCGGCATATTGTGCTCATGACAGTGATAGATCGTTGTGCCACATTAGGAGCACCGAAAAAGAACGAACAAATACGACTAATCAAAACTAAACAAAGTATCGAAACAAATAAGGCTTGCTGCACAACAATTGATGTCCGTACGTATTTTTCGACGCAATTTACAGCACAGTGGAACGCTCAAAAAGTCTATTAATGTGATTATATTTCTATCAAAACCACAGACATTTATCTTTACAATGGTGCATTGAACGGCGCACACGGATAACTGAACAGCATGGCATTGGGTTTATCTGGCTGCCACACCACGATGGTTGGATTAAAGACATAGCTGGTTCATTCGACTTTTTATTAGCAACGTGAGGGCTATCGGTGGTGGACCTCATAATTTTGACCCTCGGTCAAGTTACCAGCCTGACACCTGAGCCAACACCCCACCCTCCAAACTTTTACACCAGTCCAAAGTGGGGAATTTGAGTAACGACAGATTTAACGTGCATCAGCCCTCCGGCAACAGGTCTCAAACTCAAGACTTGCTGGTCACGAGTTCTTGACCATGACCTCTCGACAACTGCTGCCGTGACACTGAGGGAAGAAATTGTTTAAATGTTGCCTTATGTATCTCCATTCTGTTTGCTGTATTATTTTTTGGCTTGGTATTAAACCTGCACCCTTCAAGTACGCATTGCCGTAAAAGGCCCAATTAGCGCTTTACTTATGAGAATTTAGAGCCTGTAATTTACCCTTACCTTCAGAGCTTACCTGTGGCTATATTCCAACAGGCAATGCCCGATCATAAGTGACACGCAATGTTAATGACTGCTTCTTCGCTCATTAGATTGAATTAATATCTCTATTAGCCTGTTCTCTTTTATCTGTTGCCATTCACGCATGGTTACGGATGACCACTCTACCTCATATGACCATATACTACTCTCTTCTACACCAAATCAAATTTTGTCATACGGAGAGGCAGTATGTGGTATTGACATAACCCCAATATATTTAGCTTTGAGATAGCTTGGGTCCTTAGTCTTACATTTTGGAATGGACAGTAGCAGATGGGCACACATAAATTTTTCAAAGGGTCTAGGGTTGAGAGAAAGTCCTCCATTCTCGTATCATGCTCCAATACGCCGCCCAACATATTTTTTTGATTTTGTCGATTTTCGGGGGAAAAATAGTAAAAAATTAATTATTGAATAAATAATTAGCGTTAATTAATAAAATTAATTATCAAAAACAAATACTTAATTAAATTTTACGTACTATATGCAATCAATCAATTATAATTAATAGAAAAAAAATCAAGGGCTATGAGAGTATCCGGATCCGGAGACCCTCCTCCCCCTTGCGTGTGCGCTCCTGGACAGTAGTAGTACATATATTCCTAACAGTAATTTCTTATTCTTTTGAGTTTATTTTCACGAAATCTGTTACATTTTCATGGCTTTCCACCTGAATCCATATGTTTATTTTTAATCATTTTGAGGATAAATTAGATATATGTGTATTGACCAAAAGTGTAAGCAGTCATATACATATGTGAGCTTAACCCTTTGGTTTTAAAATCATTACAGATATGGGCATTATATTTTCCATTTTGCTTTAATAATATTTTTTCACTAAATATAAAATTGAAGTTCAGGGTGTTAAAGTTTAATGAGCTAATTATATCTTATTATAAATAAACTTAAGGCTTTAAAACTATGATTTTTCTTAACTGATAACTTTAATTTTATGAGGAAAAAATTGTTTATTTAACCTTTTTCACTGAAGAGCACAGAAAAACTGTTAAGATAATATAATATAAAAACCTTTTTCATTGGCATTTCCTTTAAAATCACGCATTTTCTAAAAAAAAAAAAAAAAATAGAACTGCTGATTTGTTACAGTTATTACATATTAACTAAAATATGCAGTATTCCTTTAACCATTTTAGAAATGATTATTTAATACGAATACTCTTGAACTTTAAATCTTCTTTCTATCATTCAAGTTAAACTTTAAAAGTTTTAAAAGTAAAAATATTCAGCTTATTTTAAGCACAAAATATTTATAAAATACAAAGTTTGAAGAAAATCAGGAATATTGGCTTCTTTAAAAGAAAGCGTTCATAACATTAAGGTATCCGACTACGTTTGGAACCGTGATTTTGCAAAGGCGTGCAAATGGATAATATTTATGATATTTAGTGTCATTTAGATTAGAAAATGTATATGAAATTGTTTTAAGAATAGTATAACAATAAAAAATTATTTAAGTACAATATTTTGACAAAAAATGAACATAGAATGACCCATTTTCAAAATATTCTCCTTTTGTGAAAAATGCTTCTATTATAATAATATTTTGCCTGCATATAGCTCAGACCTCTGTACAGAGTCTCAATTAGAATTTTTGAAATATATAACTTAGAAGTGGGTTTATCCATGTTTTACGACAACAGAGGGGAGAAATTTGAAGAAAAAAACACCGATAATTATTTCAATTGGTTGTAACTCTGAAAATAGAGTGAATTTTTCAAAACTCATAGTTGGGCATCTGTACAAAAGTCTGAGCTATATACAGGCAAAATATTATTATAATAGAAACATTTTTCAGAAAAGGAGAACATTTTGAAAAAATGGTTATTCTAAGTTAATTTTTTGCCAAAATATTGTATTTAAATAAACTTTTTTTGTCAAAATGCCCTTAAAACAGTTTTATACATGTATTCTAATCTAAGTAACACTAAATATCATGAAAATTATCCAATTATGTGCTTTTTTAAAATCACGGTTCCGAAAGTAGTCGGATACCTTAAAACTGTTTACATAATGCTGTTACGCATTAGGTGGCAGTAACTTTCACGAAAAAAATTGGGGAATTTTATTTTAAATTAGTTAAGTTAAGGAGTTAAGCTGGAATAATGTATTTATTAGAGTCTGTATACTTATTGTTGCATTAAAAGTATAAATAGGAATTATTGGTACTTGCCCGAGACGAATTTAAAGGAACTCCATCGACCAATCACATCTTTTTAGGTTAGAACACAACTTGAATGGTAAACACACCGGACAAATAATATGGCATAATCTTTTTTTTATTGATTACTATATTGTTGCATCACCTATACTTTTGTGAAATTTTTATTTTCTTAGATGTGCTATCAATATGATTGAAGATCATATCCA